TTTTAGTAGCCCCTCGGAGCATTTTAGTAGCCCTCCCCTGGCCCCGCTCCAACAGGTCCATGTCCTCCTGGTGCTGAGGGCTCCCGAGCTGGACGCAGGGCTCCAGGGGAGGTCTCCCCAGAGCAGAGCAGAGGGGCACAATCCCCTCCCTGGCCGCTGGCCACGCTTCTCCTGATGCAGCCCAGGGTAGGGTTGGCTTCTGGGCTGCCAGCGCCCATGGCCGGCTCATGGCCAGCTTCTCGTCCCCCAGCACCCCCAGGTCCCTCTGGGCAGGGCTGCTCTCCATCCCCTCAGCCCTGGATGGATCCCGGGGGTTGCCCCCACCCAGGGGCAGGACCTTGCCCTTGGCCTTGTTGACCCTCAGGAGGTTCCCGTGCCCCCACCTCCCCAGCCTGTCCGGGTCTCTCAGGTCTTGTTGGAGTGAGAGTTCTCCATTCGCTCTTCCTTCATCCCGCCAGGTTTATGCGACGCGGAAGACAAAAACCCAACGATCCCGGTCAAACGCCGCCGGGTGACGGCGGAAATGGAAGGGAAATACATCATCAACATGCCCAAAGGCACCACGCCGAGGACAAAGAAAATCCTGGAGCAGCAAGCGGCCAAAGGTACCAGCAAGGTGGTGAGGGGGGGGTGTTTGGTCTTCATTTTCTCTTCCAGAAGCCCCCAGTTTAGTCCCAGTTTAGTCTGTTGTTCCAAACGCCACGAAGGTTTTTGCATCGAGAGAGCTATTGGGTAGAAGTTGTGTTTATTCCGAGGAAATATTCACTCACCAGAAGCCGTAAAGGTTCCGCTCGCGTCCGTTGAAGCCGTAGGAAGAAGGGGACGGGTGGCCGTCCGCGCGCTTTTATCGAGTGGATTTTATTTTGCCAGCTGAAAGGCATCGAGCCCTTGGCGTCGACCCAGCGTAGTTTTGTTTTCCAGGGAAACCTCAAAAAAAAAAAACAAAAAAACCCAACAAAACCCACATTTTCTTGAAAACTACAGGTCTGCAGAGGACATCCGTCTTCGACCGGCTGGGAGCCGAGGCGAAAGCTGAGGTGACCACGGGAGGGAAGGTGAGAGGACGTGGGGGTGTTTTTGCCGTCACTCTCGGCAGCTGTGCCAGACCCCAGCGAGATCCTGACACCCAGGGTCCTCTCCCCAAAGTTGATTTTGGGTTTTGCAGCCGTCCGCTCGCCGCGGAGGGGCTGGAGGAGCCTTGAGATAACCAGGAAGGCGTGGGGAAGCCACCAGGGAAAAGCAGGAGGGAGCCGTCAGAGGCAAGCGGATCCCCAGTCCCTGGGCGATCCCCGTCGGCGGTTCTATTGTCACCCCTTTATTTGGGATACAGGAGATTTGTTTCCCCTCCTCTGGAGGCAAAACACTCTTTATTTGGGGATACAGGAGATTTTTTTCATCTCCTCTGGAGGCAAAATGCTCTTTATTTGGGGGATACAGGAGATTTTTTTCGTCTCCTCTGGAGGCCAAACACTCTTTATTTGGGGGATACAGATTTTTTCCTCTCCTCTGGAGGCAAAACGCTCTTTATTTGGGGATACAGGAGATTTTTTCCCCTCCTCTGGAGGCAAAATGCTCTTTATTTGGGGATATAGGAGATTTTTTTCGTCTCCTCTGGAGGCAAAACGCTCTTTTTTGGGGGATACAGATTTTTTCCTCTCCTCTGGAGGCAAAACACTTTTATTTGGGGATACAGGAGATTCTTTTCTCTCCTCTGGAGGCAAAACGCTCTTTTATTTGGGGATACAGGAGATTTTTTCCTCTCCTCTAGAGGCAAAACACTCTTTATTTGGGATACAGGAGATTTTTTTTGTCTCCTCTGGAGGCAAAACGCTCTTTATTTGGGGGATACAGATTTTTTCCCCTCCTCTGGAGGCAAAACACTTTTATTTGGGATACAGGGGATTTTTTTCCCCTCCTCTGGAGGCAAAATGCTCTTTATTTGGGGATACAGGAGATTTTTTTTGTCTCCTCTGGAGGCCAAACGCTCTTTATTTGGGGGATACAGGAGATTTTTTTCCTCTCTGGAGGCAAAAAGCTCTTTATTTGGGGATACAGGAGATTTTTTTTGTCTCCTCTGGAGGCCAAACGCTCTTTATTTGGGGGATACAGGAGATTTTTTTCCTCTCTGGAGGCAAAAAGCTCTTTATTTGGGGATACAGGAGATTTTTTTTGTCTCCTCTGGAGGCCAAACGCTCTTTATTTGGGGGATACAGGAGATTTTTTTCCTCTCTGGAGGCAAAAAGCTCTTTATTTGGGGATACAGGAGATTTTTTTTGTCTCCTCTGGAGGCCAAACGCTCTTTATTTGGGGGATACAGGAGATTTTTTTCTCTCCTCTGGAGGTAAAAACTTCAGCGTGAAAGTTTTGGGGTGTAAAACACGTTGCAGGCTCAGCCCCTCAAGAAAAATAAGAGGGAATAATGATTTTACGGGTGATTTCTAGACCGGGTCTATAGCCTAATCGTTAATTTAATCGCTGCAGGCAGCGTTTGGCATCATTACATCCCAAAACGCTTCGCAGGGGAGGTCACGGTGGCAGAATTCGGGAGGGGAAGGGGAGGGTGAATCGAGCACCCGAAATGGGGGTGCGGGTGCTGACCGGCTGCCCCCCTACCTTGTCTCCCAGCCCACGGGGGTCTTCAGCAGACTGGGTGACGCCTTGGGGACCGACGGGGACAAAGCCACCGAGAGTGACGACGACTGCTCCGGCCCCCAGTAAGCCGGCGG